TAACAATTGAAAAAAAATCAATAGAGATTTAAAAGAAATAGTTTTTTTTCTTAATAATAAAGTCCAATTAATAACAATAACAATCTAAAAATTTTCGAATCAATAATCATTTAATAATACAAGAATACTATTAGAAACCATAATTGTCCGAGACTTTACTTCAAGAAACTTAATTTTCTAGGGACGAGAACTCAAAAATGACAATTCAGATCACTCACATAAAATTTCTTGCTTTTCTTTAAAGTCACACTCGATAAAGTACAAGCACTCAGACGTCACTTCGGCTGAATTATGCCTAGTTAATATACAAAATACAAATATAATAAAATTAGAAACGGATTACTAGAATGCTAGGAATTATTTTATTGTTTTGTTTTATCACATATCATCATTTGACGTTGCCAGTTTGTGATCAACTCTTTTTGGATGATGAGTGGATATTAAGGTAGGGGAGTTGTAGTATACACCATATTTGAAACAGCTGAATGTGGGAATATTATTTTGGTAGGACTTCCATCGGGACCAGTCATAGTTCCTGGTGTGCTTACCTCAGCAGGTGTAACTGCCGACGCAATACCAGTAGTTGAAGGGGCACGTGCTAAAGATGTTCCAATGAAAGATACCAGAACTGATACAAAAGTTAGGAAAAACTGGAAATTCATAATTATGATTCGTTGATGATGAGCGAGGATGATAACTTTATTCGAATAGAAAAAATTAAAGAGAAATTTTAATTGTTGCTATTGATCAAGAAAATGAGAATGAAATTGAAAACGGTGATGTTGCTTTTAGAACAAAATATTTATTAATAATAAAATAATATTCGTTGTTGTTTAGATTAAACTGTTGAAATGACGAAGGATCTTAAAAAACTCATCCTTTTTATGTCAACCAACGAAAACTATCTGTATGTTTTAAGCTTTAAAATAGGAAATCGTATTTCACCTGCGAAAATAAGTCACAATTCAAACAAAAAGTAATTTAAATTTCTTTTAATTTGTTTGTTAACTAATTCATCAAATATTAATAGAATCCACTGTAGTTGTTTGTAATAGGTGCCACAAATAGGTTGCCAAGTTGTACCAATAAACTTCGTCTATTATTGACAATCATTTTTACCTCACAATAAACCTAACCAGTTCAGGTTGATTCTTTCGACTTTGCACCTTAAATTAACCAGAGCAATTAAAGATTTGATCAGCACCTCGAAGTTTTAATATCCCAGGACGTGCAGTTGATACAATTAAAAAACTTATATTCCTCTGAGACTCTTCCTCCTCTCCCATAATTCATCCCTTCTCTCTCTCACACACACACACCTTTTCTCTTTCTTTTCTATCTCATCCTCTTATTAATCTGATTAATTATCTAATTAACACTTTTTGTTGGTCAATTTAAGACCCATTTTTTTCATTAATAACTTTTGACTCTGACCACCTCTGACATTGCTTCTATTTTTAACGGGTTTAGATTTTTGAGCTCTTTCAGTTGATTTTTTGTTCTGTGCCTGTTGTAATATTATACAATATCAATTGATTGATAAAACCTGAACAGAAAACAAACCTCTTCAATTAGATCCCACTAGCGATAAATTCATTTTTCTTTATAAAATAATAGATTTTGTTAATTAGAAGAAGTAATTAGTTAGATCAGTGAAGATCAACTAATGACTTTGGTTTTGATCAGTGAAGATCAACCAAAGTCAAATCTTCACCATTTTTCATCAATATTGTTTAATTGTTTAATTGTTCAATTTTTCTAATAATTTGTTAATTAAATAAAAATATATAATATCTATTAAATTTGTGTATAATGACCAGTGAAGACCAAATAATTGTGGTGCTAAATTGTCCTGGTCAAATGACGGTCAGTGAAGACCGTATTTGACCCTTTACATTTTAACTAAAATAGTCAAAGTTGCGTCTTGTGATTTAATTAAATAGTCAGTGAAGACTAAAGATTAACTAATCAATTAAATTGTGCTCAAAAGAAACAAATTCAACCCCTTTTTAATTTACATGTAATGTTTTCGTTACATTTGGTGGCCGTGTGTGAGGGTGAATTTGGTGAACTAATTTTCGTGCAAATCTATTCTCCAATTTAATTCGAACCATAAAATGACCTTCAAATAAACGTTAAAATCGTGGTCTCAATGTTACTTTAATGAGAAATAAAAAAAACGAACAATTAACAAATCAACAACTTACAAATCAACAACTTACAAATCAACAATTAACAAATCAACCATCAAATAATAAACCATTATAAATAATAAAAATTAAAAGATCAGCTAATCAATAATCAAAAATTAATAATAATCAATTAACAATAACATATTAATAATTAATCAAATCAATTTGTATTTAAATCAAATAATTAACACACTTTACAGATTTCCATCTATCCTTTAATTACGAAAGTAAGTCTTCTTTTTTGGTATCTTTTCTCTTCTTTTTTTTAATATCGCTACTAAGGTCAGTGAAGACCAATCTTTTAGCACGATTGTTTTTTTATCTTGTTCATTCTGACAATTGATTTTCAGCGAAATCGTTAAACGTGAGGTCAGTGAAGACCCTTGCTTCTTGATTGTTTATTCTCTCCTTAGACTATAAAATGAAAAATCCTTAACTGTCAGTGAAGACGTTATTCTCTCAATACATTCAATTATCACAAATTATCATCATATTATCATACAATTAACATTTAACATATTACTTTATCAATTATGAATTATTACTCTGATCAATTTGGATTTAATCCAATCGAATTTAACCCAACAATTAACACTATTAATTCAAGCCATGTCCTGAACAATCATATCACCATTGAGCCATTCAGAGGTGATAATGAAGATTTGATTGATTGGTTGATAAACTTTGAATTAGCTTCTAGTGCTTTAGGTCTTGGTGCTATTGAGATGTTCAAGATTATTCCCTTTTATTTGCAAGGTTCAGCTCGCAAATGGTACAACGTTACCTGTAGTCCTCATTCTTTCCGAAAAATGCCTAAAACTTATGATGAATTAAGAAATAGAATGATCTCAGACCTTTGCCCAGCTGATTATCAAGCTCATCTCTCTCATCAATTTCATTATAGCAAACAAGCGTCTAATCAGCTAACGACTAACTTTGTCTATCAGATTCAAGAATTATGTTTGAGAATGAATAAAAAGATGCCAGAAAAGCTCATGATAATCTTCATCATTGAAAGACTTTTACCTCAAGCTAAATTCATAATAACATTACAAAATCCTCAAACATTAACAGAACTTATTAATGCTGCTAAATTAGTAGATAAAACCGTCAACTCAAGAATAAAGCACAATGAAAATGAAAATTATTTGAATTCAAATCAATTACCATTTAAAATCAACCAAATCAATGAGAAACCCAACTCTTCAGTTTCTTCACTTTTTCCAATTCCACATTCAAATCTAATTCATAAAGAAATCAAATTAAATAATAAGAAAGTCCAAGCAATGTTCGATACAGGTTCCGGTTTAACTCTAATCAGTAAAAATCTAGTTGATCGACTGAATTTAAACTTACAACCATACCTTGCACCTCCTCCTTTAGCTGTTAACAATAGCCCAGTTAAAATACTTGGACAAGTCAAAGTTAGAATTAAAATTTGTGACGACAAATCAGCAGTTGCAATATCAACAATTGTCCAAGTTACTGAATATTTGCCACATCAATTCGATGCTTTAATTGGTCAAGATCTAATGACAAAAGCTAATCTTATAATTGATTGTGCAGCTAAAACAATTCATATTAATAATTCAAATTTGATTAATCTCACGAGTTTACCAAGTGCTAAACATTCGTTAGAGATCGAAAGGGAAACTGAAATTATTGAAAATCTTGATCAGATCGATTCGAATCAATGCAAATCCAATGAACAGAATGAACAAGAGGAAAATTTCCCCTTTTTAGAATTAGTTGATCCTCTTGAAATACCACTAGCTGAAGAGATACCAAAATTGATTGACAAAACTGCTCACGTTAATTATCCTAATCTTTACTTGGAATCAAACTCAATTAAATGTTTATCTTCACATTTTTACTCTTCACCTTACCCGAGTTGTAATCCTACACTTTCATATTATCAACCCTATCACTATACGAAAGATAAAATCATCAACTTAAGCTGTCATAAACCTAACGATAATGTTTTCAACTGGTTGGTACAAAGAAGTGCCGACGAAATCGATAACAAATAAATTCTATGATGCCCTTCTTGAAATATGGAATTCAACCCTTTGCTTTGGCAGAGACTGCTCAAATTTAAGTCGACGGAAATGTTGTAATATTATACAATATCAATTGATTGATAAAACCTGAACAGAAAACAAACCTCTTCAATTAGATCCCACTAGCGATAAATTCATTTTTCTTTATAAAATAATAGATTTTGTTAATTAGAAGAAGTAATTAGTTAGATCAGTGAAGATCAACTAATGACTTTGGTTTTGATCAGTGAAGATCAACCAAAGTCAAATCTTCACCATTTTTCATCAATATTGTTTAATTGTTTAATTGTTCAATTTTCTAATAATTTGTTAATTAAATAAAATATATAATATCTATTAAATTTGTGTATAATGACCAGTGAAGACCAAATAATTGTGGTGCTAAATTGTCCTGGTCAAATGACGGTCAGTGAAGACCGTATTTGACCCTTTACATTTTAACTAAAATAGTCAAAGTTGCGTCTTGTGATTTAATTAAATAGTCAGTGAAGACTAAAGATTAACTAATCAATTAAATTGTGCTCAAAAGAAACAAATTCAACCCCTTTTTAATTTACATGTAATGTTTTCGTTACAGTGCCTGTACTACAAACTCTGTAGGTAGCCTAGTTTGTCTTTAATCTTCATGCGAAAAATCGTGAATCGTAATAATTGTTTGTGATGTTTGTGATTATCAATCAATGTTGAAGCAAAATTGTCACAACAATTAGAATCATTAATCATGAAACAAACTGAGAAACATAAAAGAGCCAAACATTTGTGATGATGATAAATGACAATTGATTAATATGAATGGAAAGCTTGAATTTTACCGATAAACAATCAAGAAGAAATCGAAATTACAATCAATGGGAAATTAACAATTAAGGTAAAAACTCTTGTGACCCTAATGGACAACGGGATCTCAATTGGTCAACCAGTTAAATCAAAATGTACACCAAATTTACGTAAACATATTCAGATTATTATCCATCTACTGGTGACCTGTCTTTGTGGAGGTCAAATTTACTCGATTGCTATTGATTATATGTCCGGTGAGATAACGTCAAAGGTTAACTTGACCACTCCGAATCAAATTACTTTGCCAAGTGTTTCCTTGTGTTTCCCTTTTCTTGATTTAATCAATTTAACCAAAGCTTCCGCTCTTGACGATAAATTAGATGATCTTTTATTAGAGCGGCCATTTTATGATGACCTCGGAACCCACAGAGACATGTTCACCTCAATCTATTCAATTTTGGGCAATCTAACGGTAAACCAGTTAAATAATCTTCTTAAAGATATTGACAATTTAATTCCAAAGATCAAATTAACTCCGACCTTTCGACGATTGGGTGACACCAAATCGGGCTATTATTTGGTAAAGGACAATTCTACTTGTGAGGTCACTCGTTATTCTAGACAACCGTTATTTTGCTTGACCATTAATTGTTACAATTCATCGGGTGGTCCGATTAAATTTTCCCGTCACGAAATATTTCAACCTCCTTACGACGGTCAAATGATGGCCATTGATTTAAATAATAACATATCGACCATTACAACTTCAACTACAATCATGTTTTCAGAATTTGGTAAACTAATTCAGGGCTCAGGTCAAACAGCATATCGAATAGGTTTCAATGGTCAACCACCGGGCATTTACATCGTGACCTTTAGTAAAATTGTCAACATCTTAAGCCAAGAAAACTATGAAGTCTCTTGTCGGAACTATTCAAATTATGGTTACTCTTCAAGGTTCCACTTTATTGACGCTTGTCTCAACAATTTGACCGCTTCATCCATAGGGTCAGTCTTTTATGGGACAATTCAAGCTTTAAATTACTCTCAGGCCAATCTAAGGAATGGTTATTATCAGTATTATGGTGAATATCTTACCCCTAATATAACAGAGCGAAATCGCCTAAGGAAATATTTTAAATTCTGTCGTCAGCATTGTAATCATATCGCTGATAAGCCTGATTGTGAGGAGGAAATTTATTCACCACAAGGCTATCGAACCTTAACTGATGAAGATCAAAACGGAGTTTATGTTATCCTTTTACGAGCACCAACAGCACCTTTCGAGATAAATCAATATTTTCCCGAATATACACTTCTCGATTTGATAATTTATCTTGCAAGTAGTTTAAATTTCTGGTTTGGTTTGTCGTTGATTAGTTTATCGGAAAAGTTTCTCAATTGCTATTGTGGTTTATTTACACGGCCCACAAAGAGTAGATCAGCGAAAATTAATATCGCAACCAAATCAAATAATAATAATTCACCAATTGATCAAAATCTCGGATACCAGAGTAAAGTTGCAACTAATAGACGTGCAAGAGTATCAAGAGTTAAAAGTATCAATCAACAATTACCAACAGTTTACTGGTGATAGAAAATCAAAATCAATCAATTTTTATGATTTACTATTAAAAATATTACATCAAATTAGTTGTAACTAATAAATGTAACTGGATTAAACTGTAATTTCTTTGTGGTGTTATTAAAGTGACGATGATTTGAAATTATTTTTGGCTTCTCTTAAAGCGGCCATTACTTTGATTGGATCTGTAAGTTTGGCAAATTGTTGGACAGATGATTGATTAACTCGCATAAAAGGGTTGATTAACTTTTCCTCTCCAATCGTTGATGGAATGGTTGTTTCACAATTTGATCTTCTTTCCTAATAAATATTAATATAAATATAAATAGAGAAATATGATTAAAAATCAATCGATACTATCAATACAATCAACTTACTCTCGACCAATTTAGTTTATTTTCAATATCTTGGTTTGAAGGTTCAACGTTTTTCGCAAAAACCAAATTAGATACAGTATATTCATGGCCACAATATACTTTCTGCAATCAAGAGGCATGAAAATCACAATTAGAATGATAGAATATGTAAATTAAGTTAATCAACCACATGAATTTCTGACTTACAGTTGAATCTGGTAATGAACCAAGTTTCTTGATTAGAGCTTCATACATTTGATCAGCTGTTCCTTCAAAAAATTTCCCACAACCAGCAAGGAAAAGAGTATCACCTAATTGTTTTTTCATGTGATTAGAATTTTGATTAAAATTAGATTAATGGGAAGAAAGGGAAAATAAAATTTACCTGTAAAAACAGCTCCATCGGATTCACCTGAAGGCGGAACAACATGATAACAAATGTGCCCACTGGTGTGACAAGGAGTATAAAGACAATTAACCAGCAATTTTCCAATTGTAAATGAATCACCATGATTAACTTTGTTAGTTAAACCACCAATCCTTTCATCATAACCACAAACGGTTAAACCTGAAGCCTTGGAAACTAAATCAACATTACCACCGGCATGATCCCAGTGATGGTGTGTAGTTAATACGGTTGTCAATTGAACACCCGAATCACTGACCGTTTTCAAAACCTTCTCAGGTTCAACTGGATCAACAATGGCCGCTTTATTAGTCTCCTTGTCGATAATCAGGTACATATAATTGTCGGAAAGAGCGGATAAAATTTTCACCTCCATTTGATTACCAAAAACAGTAGAGGTTAAACTATGTGATGAATGAATACCAACCAGACCACGGAGAGTTTTAACAGAAGAATAGATTAAACCTAATACAATAAATGGAACAGAGAACAATTAATTAATCTATAGGAAAAGAATTAGTCACAATTAAATTGAAAATAATCAAAAATTACGTTGTAACATGTTAGGTAAACAAGCGAGTAATCAGCTTACTCTTTGTCTATATCCTGGTAAATATTTTTTTCTGGAAAAAAAAGAAAACAAACAATTGAATCAACTAACCAACTAATCAATCGAGACAATTAACATGTACGAATAGTAGAACAATTAAACGAAACTGTAATTAAACTGTTCCAATGGAAATTACAATTGGAATCAACGAGCAACAATTAAGAAAAACAAAAGATAAACAACAAATGGAAACATGTGTTCACATGAGCAGAGAGTTTGAAGAGAAAAAAAAGAAAGAGAAAGAGAAAGGAAACAATCAAGTTAATTCAATTACGATGAGAATAGAATTAAAATTGAATGTTAATTGTTGAGAAAAAAATAATAATAAAATTAAACTTAATCAGAACAATAATAACCACGATTATTGTACTTTGTAAAAAGGGTCAAGAGTTTTTTTCGTTCAGGTGAAAATCAACTAATTGTTTCTAAATTGTTTAATCGATAAGTTGAATTGAAATTACAATTTATTGATTACATTTACAAATAAACTTTTCTCATTGGAATTATCTAATTATCTCTATCTATTCATTATTATTACGATTATTATTACCTTTAAATTACTTTTACCCCTTGGTGATTTACATAATGGTAAGACGATGATTTAAATTGTTGTTGTTGTTGTTTTTTTAATCATCAATGTGAAAAACTAAATCAAAACAAACACTGAACATGGTGATGATAAATTATTTACTATCACCTATGGTAATATAACATTGAACAGGTTAATTGTTTGAGTGTTTAAAGTTTTTTTCCCAATTTTCAATTACAACGATTTATTAATAGTAAAACAAAAAAGTTAAATTGGTCAAAGTTGATCATGATGAAATTGTTAATTAGTGCGTCTCGAAAATTTAACTCATTTCGTAACAATCGATGGGTCAAATTAACTTTATTCATTATCCTGATGACCGGAATGGTCTGGCAGGTCTATCGGATTAACGTTTTGTACCTGAGATTTGATACCGTTGTTGATATTCAGGTTGATCGGCAGTTTTTGATTCAATTACCTGCGTTGACCATTTGTTTGGACATTGATCTGAAACTGTTGGAACCCTTGAAGCGCATTTATCCCGATAAAGTGATCAGTGAAAATTTAACGATCCAAGAGAGATACTTATTGTATCGATCAGCGTCCATTGATAAATTGTTTCACCATTCGATGATACTTGATGATGTTAGTATTTCTTGTCTATTAATTTGTAGTCAAGATTCACGATTTACCAATGGGTCAACTTGTATAGATGTTCCGTGTTCCGAGTATTCAAAAGTTCGAGAGTCAATTGAATGGTCTCGAAATAATGCTCTTCGTCGGTGTTACACTTATTTCCATTGGAATAGTTCGGGTATCCCATTTTTAGAGGCTCTAAACGGGGAACGGGATTTTATTAACTTTAATCTAACGAAAAGCGGTGAGACTCCGGTCACTGCGATTTTCACCATGCACCCTGGTTCATATGTTCCTTGGACTGAGGATGAAGATTTTTCCTCTTTCAATATTGGCCTAATGTCAATTGTGTCTATTAATTATCAATTGACTCGGATTAAACTGCTCGAAGCTCCATATCAAACTAATTGTCAAATTTATTCACAATTTGGTGTCTCTGGTTGGGTTGGTTGTATGTACAAGTGTAAAGAGCGTCTCAATGAACGAGCTTTCAAAAGTTGGCCTTTAGATGTACCTGGAGGACGTGATGTTCAACTGTCATTCGTTTCAGAGGAGATACGTCTAAATGACACCCATATGACTCATAAGATTAATCGAGAGTGTCACTTGGAGTGTTCAAGAAAACAATGTGACTTTAATGAGTACGCACATTATGTCAAGTATGTACAATACAATTTGGGCGGAGGTCCAAGTGGATCTGGAGGTGGTACTGGTCAGCCGAGCTATTTGACCCGCGTTTACATTCATCGGCCATTTAATTTTGACGTAGTTTATAAACATCGACCAGCCATTGATTTTATTGAATATTTTAGTTACGTTGGATCGGCAATTGGCCTTTGGTTTGGTTTCTCCTGTTTAACTCTGTTTAATTTTGCGGAAAAATTTTTCAAACAATTAGTTTATGGTAAACCAAATCCTCCACCGCCATCACAACCACCACAGCCCCCATACCCCACAATCCATAGCTCACATGTAAAGACACCACCAGAGGATCAACCACCAAGCGCTCTAATGGTTCAAACACCTAAATCCAAAAGACTTGGATCCACAGGTTTACCTACACCGAAAAAGATCAGAAAACGACCTCCGAACATTAGATTATCTCCTCCTCGAATAAACAATTTAATCTCACCAATAAGCACCAATTTATCACCGACCTACAATAAGTCCATTTTTACCGAAACTCCTGATGATGTTACTCGATACAATAATAATGGCCCATTAACCAGCTAAAAATTTGACCTTCACTATCTAATTGTAGCTAATTTAGTAATTAGATTGAAATTTTTATATTTAATTATCTAGTTTATTGAATCACAATTAAACAATGAAAGAAAATATCAATTGATACTTTATCATTTTCCAAAATAATGTAAAATGAAAAGGATTAACCATTAAATTGATTAATTTTCATTCTCATTTATTGTTGATTGTCAATTCTTTGATTAAACTTGATCAATATTATTAATTGATTTAGAAATACTCATATTCAGAAAGTTAATTGTTCAATTGTTGTTTATAGATTTTGATGAGAAAAATAATAAAATAGTTCTAAATGAAATGGAAAAGTTAATTAATTCTTCAGGTTAATTGGGGGATCATTCAGATAATAACTATCAACACATTTATTATTACGAAATCAACGATTGTCATTTGAATTGTCCATCAAAATCACCTTGATAAAGGTCAAATATCGTCGCATGTTTATCATGTAGCTCATTAACAGGTAGATAAAGTTAATTAGTTTCCAATAAGATTTTCATTTTCTAACCTCATTAATGGAAAAAAGAAATAGATAAGATCCATTAGAACTGAATTAATATTTTCCAAGCATTTACCTGAACAATAGGTTTACAATATTCGAGCGTAAATAACATGTCGAAGTCCATTACAAAGATCTTTCCATTCAGTTTTTTTTCTTTCTCCTTCCAATTCCCTGTAAATGAATAATAATGACCATGATAATGATGAAGATAATTACTACAGGTAATTTCCCACATAGGTCACACTGTGAACAGAAAAAAGGTAATAAACAAAAAATCTCAATCAATATGAAATCAAGAATAATAAACAACCTTATACATGGAAATTGTGATATTCAGATAAACACGAACATGGTAACAAATAATTTTGGCCTTTGTTTTGTACTCCACAACAAATGAGTGTCTTAATCAGTACACATTAAGTAATACAAAACAATCAGTTAACTTTTGTATTAATAAGTTTCAATGTTTCAAAAATATAAACAATTCCAGGCAAACAATCAATCATGGAATTGATTTGAAATTTGTTTTTCTTCATGTTAATTGTGCTCTCTGGTCAAGGAGTGTTAATCATCATGTTGTCATCAACTAATTATTTCAAAACAATTGAAGAAGCTTCAGTTAAAAGCTTCAAGGAAATCGTCCAAACTAATCATCATCATACCAATCGAAAGGAGGTAAATCAATCGTTTTTAAATGATCCATCGACAATTGAACCTAATGGTTTGAGGCCACTTGAATGTTATCGCTTTTTATATAACGTTTTGACCATCATTGGCTTCTTATGGCAGGTTTATCGGATTAATTACATTTACTTGCAATATGATACAGTGGTTAACATAATTATCGGTAAAGCAGATCACTATTATATGCCTGGAGTTACCGTTTGCCTGGATTATAATATGGAAGATAAGTCAACCTTTACTCGTCTCTATCCAGATCGTGTTTTAGATCATTATTCACCTGATGAATTGAGGCTTATTTTCTTGGAAACACCGATCAGAATTATTGCTCGAGAAGGTCAGACTGTCGGTCAAGTTTCGATAAATTGTACCGTTAAGTGTTCTCGTGATCGTAGGTTTATAAAACCAAGTGAAACCCTTTGGTCATCTTCATCTTCTTCCGATTCAAAAGCATTTTGTGTCAATGTTCCTTGTTCAGTTTATTCTAAACCTCGAGAGACACTTTCTTGGGCTCGAAATAATGTTATCCGTCGATGTACAACTTATTTCACTTGGAATTCAACATCAAGTCCACTACAAGAATATCGTGAAGATGGACGTGAGCTTATTGAATTTTCAGTTTCCTCCAAAGGATCAGCTGTGGTCATTTTCGCCATGCACTCTGGTTGTAACATACCTTGGACAGAAAGGGAAGACTTTTCCTCCTGGACATTGATCGATACTCTCAGTTCACTATGGACTATTCAATAATCATATTTCGTCTCCTTCAACCTCCCTACAAGACTAATTGTTCCGATTATTCAGAATATGGTGTTTTAGGTCGAACCGCTTGTATCCAAGAGTGTGAAAAGAGCCTATTCCTTAAAGAACGCGGAACTTGGCCTCTTGATGTACCAGCTCCAGCATTCAATACATCTCTAGCCTTTTTCCCTTCAGGTTTTGGTTTACGAAGAGAAAGGGCATTCCCTCTGAAAACCTTGGACACATGCTCAAAAAAATGCGCTCAACCCGAGTGTTCATCTTATATTGTCACCTTTTCGACAAAGAATCAAAATTTCATCACAAGTCGCAGAAATCAAACCAACTATAATGCAAAGATTTACGTTAATCGCCCTCGTGCCTACGGTGTGAAATATATTCATATTCCAGCGATTGATTTTATCGCATATTTTACTTACATTGGAGGATCAATATCACTTTGGTTTGGATTATCTTTGCTCTCAATTTTTGACAGATTACCAACTAATTACACAGGTAAATATCGGAAAACAATGAATCGATGACTTATTCAAACTTACATGTAATGAAATGATTTTTTTTTGCTTTTTAACATGAAGGACAAGGAACATCGAAACGTGTACCCGCTGTCGATAAAATGGACTCACGATATTGGCCACAAACCTCAAAGTATACCAATGGTTTCTATTCTGGATGCTCAAATCTAATCACAAAATTACCTGCGGGGAGCTGGAAGACATTATCCTCACCTTTTGAACTTGCACCTCGAAATTCAGTGAAAGATTCATCGAATCCCATTTTACTCTCAATAATTTCATCAAATGTAACCACTGGTGGTAAAAAACGCTCATTAACAAAAGTTGTATTTGACAGCTTTAAAACAAATCGAATCATCTATTAATTGAATTCAATTATTGAAATATTTATGATCAAAATTTTTCTTCATATTAAAATCGATTAAATAATAATAATCTCTTAATTTCTCATGAATACACATTCATTGTCTTTGAGATTGTTTCAGGAATTTGCTCTTGAAACGGTAGACATTGAAACTAATGCGGAAACTTTTCCCAATGAAATCGATAACAATGTCAATCATCCAGGAAGACGAGAGTAAATTAATTGTTTACTTCGTGTTTTCGTTTTTGATCAATAATCCAAAGAGGTTAAACAATGGACACTTAAGCAAGACTATTCATCAAACTGATCATTAATGCAAGAATAATTCGCAATTAGTTTACATTTGTTTGCACAATTAGTTACTTCTCATTTGCTATTATTGTATTAGCTTCAACAACGAGATGAAAAAGTTGACCAATTTCGTCCCAAAGGCTAAGGCCTTATCAAAGTTCAGTAAAATCTTTGGCGATATCGTGAATCCTTTCGATGGTACTAATCATCTAGATTTTCTCGAAAAATTTGGCAAAAAAGGTTTAGTTTGTCTTGGTGGATATTCACGATTAACTAATTATCCTTCGAGTCATTACATTTTCATCATTGATTGAGACCAATTGGATTTTAGTGAGTCGACATCATATTATCGATAACTTCTGATTATATGTTATCCTTTATCTTGGTGACATTTTCTATGGGACCAAAACGCGTTTTACATGAATGCTGTCATTGCGATTGGTTCGATTATGCTTGGAGTTTCACGGACATTCTCGTACTGGTTAGAACAATTGGATCAGATGAAATGGTTAAGTTATTTTGCTGATATTCAGAAACATGGATTTCGAGCCGATATGCCCACATTTCGCAAGGGACTTGAAAATACTGAAATCGAATTTACTTGGGGAGACAGTTCACCTTACACCCATAACAATCCTAGTTCTTGGATTTATATTCACTTATTCAATTATTAACAATCCAGTTTCTTACTCATCACCCAGTCGACTTGCGTTTATCCTTTTATGGACAGTGTCCACTTTTATTGCTGCAGTTGGGCGGTTATTTCGGTTTTATGGCTTATTGTTCACATTTACGTATTAATTGTTTACAATCTTACGACTGGATTATGTTGATCGACTTGCTAGTGGACTACTTAAATTACCAGTTATTCCGCTAATTTAATTCGTTCATTGGTTAGTGAACAAATTCAACTGTTTAATGCAATAGATGCAATTGATAGTCAATGCGAAACTTTTTTTCTTTGGCTACAACTTTGCTGCTTTTGGGACGGATTTTCTTTTGTATGTGGCCTTTACTATGCCGAAGGACAATTTATTCAACAATATTCTTGTCTTTGGTCTTGGGGTCGAGGTAACATTTATAATTTGTATTATCGTTTATCTTTCAGGGACCATTCATATCAGGGTAAGTATTTAATTCATTTATTCAAGTACAACTACCAGATCATGAGACTCCTGCCCAATATTATTCTCTTACAAAACAAGTGAGAACGAGAAAGAAAGAGGGTCGGGTCACTCACTCAGGCATTTGAGAAAAGTAGTCCCATTATCTGGTCGTCCTGCTATCTGGTTGTTGACTGTATTATAAATATTACCTCTCTAGCAACAAAAATACTAGTGTCACATAATACCAATACAATATAACAACTTGTATTAACAAGTATCATTTTTTTTCTCACTCCTCCTAGTATTACACAACGCTTTCTTCAACCTTTTCTGACTCTTGAGAGATAAAATCTTAATTTATTAATTTTAATCAAAGAGTAATGACCTTGATTTTTTAAATGTAATTTCAATCTTTGCACCAGAGTCGACCTGGCTAGTCACACAAGTGTCTTCTATCATTGAATAGTATCAATAGCTAGCTCTACATTTTTGTTGACTGGAGTGTAGCAAAACTTTAGTCCCAAATACCCATATACATGCTGTCACAAAAAAGGACGAAGTCCTGGTGAAGAGTGAGACTCTGGCAAGGATGACTTGCCTTTTGAATCTAATGTTTTTATTATTTCTTACCCCTTTACTAGTACTGTAATCACACAATTAATACGATTCACGTTTTTTGATGCAAACATTGAGAAAGAACCTGATGTGCTACAGAGACACCGAGACCCTTATTCGAAAGCTTTTCAAATTCCGCACCAACAAAAAATAGAACGATTGTTGTAAAGGTCGAGGGTCAAAAGTTATAATTTTTTCAAATTTTCTCTTTCTTTTGACTTTTGCTTCTTTTCGTATCCTTCAAATATTAGTATTGTTTAACAGTTGCATTGTTGTTAAAAATGATTTTAAAAGAAAGAAAGAAAGAAGAGAGAGAGAGAGAGAGAGAGAGAGAGAGAGAGAGAGAGAGAGAGAGAGAGAGAGAAATAGCCGTGTAAACGTCCACGGAAACGACCTGGTCTGGCGACACGATCGGGGAACCAGGAACGCATTCGTGAAGTTTAGTTAGCAAATGGCGGCTTAGCCTTGCATATACGAAGCTAACAATATTAAGCGTTTAGCGATCATGTTGATCGCTCGCTCTTTGTAAAATTTATTACTATTCCTGTAATAAAGGAAGTAATAATCGTTAGGTTAGCGTTTGGTTTTACCATGAAACAATAAAAGAATGATGATGATGATAAAATTTATCATCTCTTTCTTTTCTCTTTCTTTCTTCTCTTTCTTCTCTTACAAAAAATATATAAAAGAAAATCAGAAAATCAAAATTATCATTAAGTTTCAATCCTCGACTAGAAAAGAACAACTTCAGTGAAGAAGTTGACTTTCTCTCTCTCTCTCTTTCTCTCTCTCTTTATCTCTTCGACTAAACTTATCCAATCAACAATCAAGTTAATCAACAAAATTAAATAATTCACGTAAAATTATAAAAGTTTTCGACTAAGTTTAAAGTTGTTCGAATAAAAGTTTTGTTCTAAGTCTAAACTAAGTTCAATTGTTCACTAAATTGTTCATCTCGAAATCGAACCTGTTACATTGAAGCCCACGATGAGAAAGGGTCATTGATGGTTCCATCTCTTGGTAATTTTCTTCGTTATTAATAAATTGGATCCTTGGCTCTCAATTCAAACCTCAAATCAACCTGACGGTAAAAAAACACCTTTCTTTTCATTTTCATTTTCTTCTCTTAACCACATGACTCAGTGAAGAGGCTCTGGTTAGATTTTTTTCTCTTTCTCATCTGTCATATAACCATTTATCTCAGTGAAGAGATTCTGGTTGAATTTTCTTTTCTCGTATTAACCATATGATTCAGTGTAGAATCTCTGGTTCAAATTTCAATTCATCTTAGCAAATCTCTCAATTAGTTTAAAATTCAAATAGTCATGAATCCAGAACCTTCAACTCCACCAGAAAATAGAAATCAAATTAATGTCAACTCCACCAGTCTCCCAACTATACCAATAAATATTATATCTTTCAATGGAGACGATGAGAAGACATTATAGAATGGGTACTTAGATTTGAATCTTCAGCCGAATCATCAGGATGACACACGTCGATATGTTTAGGCTCTTCCCACTTATCTTCAGGTAGTGCTAGGAGATGGTATGATTTCACATTCGGTCGTTTCGGTCCTAGCGATAAACCATCAACTTATTTACAGTTAAAAACTAAATTAATTCAGGGCTTATGTTCGGTTAATTATCGGACCCATCTCTCACAAAGACTCTCTCAATTGAAACAGAAACCAGGGTAGTCATCAGCAAATTGCATCTACGAAATAATCGATTTGTGTCAGAAGATAGATGAGAAAATGCCTGAATCTGTTATTATCGGGATGATTAGAGAAAAATTACTTCCATCAGTTTGTTATGGAATAACTTTGCAAAACCCAAAGTCTATTCATGAATACATCGAGGCTAGTAGAATCGCTGATAGGGCTACAATAAGTACGAATCAATTCATTCAGAGTACAACTCCTTCAGTAGATACTAACCTCATTGAATCTATTAAAAAGATACAACAAAACATAAATTTATTAGCTGAGAAATTAAGTAAAATTTCAGATGATAATAAAAAAGAATTTTGTAATTATTGTCGAGGTCGAGGTCATATTGAAGAAGAATGTAGAAGAAAAGCTCGAGATCTTCAACGTAATTCAGCCCAACAAAATTATCAAAATCAAACAAATTTTCCAAACTTACAATTTCCAACTAATCAAACAAATCAATATCAAAATCAAGGTCAAAGTCAAAATCAAGTTAGTCAAAATAACAATACAAACAGATCAGAAAATTCTCAAAATTGGAGAAAGGAAAATTCAACCAGAATCTCTTCACTGAGATATATGATTATATGACAGATAAAAACTACTAACCAGAGCCTCTTCACTGAGTCATGTGGTTAAAAAGAAAAGGAAATGAAAAGAAAGGTGTTTTTTTTACCGTTAGGTTGATTTGAGGTTTGAATGGAGAGCCAAGGATCCAATTTATTAATAACGAAGAAAATTACCAAGAGATGGAACCATCAATGACCCTTCTTCATCCGGCTCCATTGTAACAGGATCGATTTCGAGATGAACAATTTATTGAACAATTGAACTTAGTTTAGACTTAGAACAAAACTTTTATTCGAACAACTTTAAACTTAGTCGAAAACTTTTATAATTTACGTGAATTATTTAATTTTGTTGATTAACTTGATTGTTGATTGGATAAGTTTAGTCGAAGAGATAAAGAGAGAGAGAGAGAAAGTCAACTTCTTCACTGAAGTTGTTCTTTTCTAGTCGAGGATTGAAACTAATGATAATTTTGATTTTCTGATTTTCTTATATATTTTTGTAAGAGAAGAAAGAAGAAAAGAAAGAGAAAAGAAAGAGATGATAAATTTTATCATCATCAATTAACTTTTATTGTTTTCATGGTAAAAAACCAAACGCTAACCTAACGATTATTACTTCCTTTATTACAGGAATAGTAATAAATTTTACAAGAGAGCGAGCGATCAACATGATCGCTAAGCTTATACAATATTGTTAGCTTCGTAT